GGGAGGCGAAGCCATTGCTGCCCTCATTGAAAGTGCAGCAGTTGGATCGGAGAGAGAGCAGATCAGCCTGCTGCTTCTGGGTGGGCGTATCCGGTGCTGGGTGAGTGAGAATGGAGTAACCATTGGCCATATTTGAGGCCGACTGGGAGATTAGGCGTGGCGGTTTGCTGGTTCTGATCTGACTGCGCACAACGCCGCCTCGGTTTCTGCGGTGATACACAACCAGGATGATGCAGATGAAACCAAGGACGCAGATGAACGCGGTTATCGAGAGACCGACGACGAGGAACTTGAGTTTCGGCATATTGAGATGCCGGCTTTCTTCAGCCAACTTCGTAGAGGCTTCTGGTGCTCCAGCCTGCCTCAGCATATCTTTTGAACTTGGCCTGGTGTTTGGCATGACAGGCGCAACGGGCGATGAGTGCTTTCCCGCATCTAAAATGTGTACTAATTATTATTCAGTAGAAAGATTAAAATAAAAACAAAATTATGCGCAATTTCCCCTATGTACGCACAGGCAACAGTGGGCACAGCGTCGTTGAAGGTTGTCTGAGTGGGCGAGTTGGTGAGATTTTCCCAAACAAATTGGGGCCACAGCTGATCATCAGAAAATTTTGTTTGGGGTGGCGGTGCCCTAAGTGGTAGGCCCAAGTAGGGCTTCGTTGATCGGGTCCATTCACTTGCCGTGCAGGCAGACGAAGTCGTCGCATCCAGTCGCCACATACCCGTTGCCGGCGCGGTCTCCGGCTCCTACGGATGAAAATAGCAAATAAATATATGATAAATAAATAAAAATAGTTTTGGTAAGCGTACGACTTCAGGAATACCTGAAAGATTTCTTCAGCGACTGTTTGATATATATATATATATAAGGTGTATGAACGTCATTTGATTGACGAACTCGTCTTGAAAATCCGCAAATGCCTAAACCATTACCGTAGCGAAGGTGAGGAGTACGGCCGACCATCCCGCTAGCTCAAAAGTGAAAATATGTGGTGCCCAAGCCTAAACTGTGTAATTCGTAAGTATTTAGTCAAAGGTGCTACTTTTTAAATATGGGCTGGAGCCCAGCAGCGGCGGACACAGTCTTCGTTGGGGCTGATTTCTCGGTGCTCGCAGATTAATTGCTGAAAACCACAAGCGTACATGTTCATCGGCTGCTTGTGCATTCTGCCAACAAAAATGGAAGTGTACGTTAATTTCCTCTAATTCTAAACCTAAAACTTACTAATCGTTTGACCTTCCAGCCACCTTTTCGTTTATCTTTATGGCAAAGAACAGGCCACATATTCATTAAAACGTTCAAGATTACAGATAATAATTTTTTTTTAAATCTGGAGTCTCATGACCAGCTTAAATACATCGGTTACATCACAACGTCTGTGACAGTCTGTGTCGAAAAGGAAATTTCAATCTGTTTTACTAAATTTTGTGTTAAGTGTGCCGCTATGAAGGACAGAGTAGTGACGATTAATTATCAGGTGCTTCTATCTGTTGGAAATACGACCCCGGATAATGCTTTTCTGCATACAACATTGTTTTGCTAATTAGCATCCTCGACTAGAAGCTAAATGTGGCAAGGCGTTCAACCTACTCCTCATGAAAAGCTGCTTCTCATAAAACACATTTTTCCCTAGCAAATCGACTGTTACCTCTCATTTTTACGCACTCTCGTGTGCACCAAACATTTCTGGACATGCATGCTTTGGCACTGTGTGGTGAGCACTCATGCTCAGCATAAATATAATGATAGTTTGTGTCGAAAAGGAAATTCAGATCTATTTCAATAAATGTTGCATTCAGGGTGCCTGTATTAAGGATGGGGTAGTGACTATTATTTATCAGACGCTTCTAGTCGTCGAAAATACATCCTCAGGCAGTCAGGTGAAGTCAGTTTGGCCTACGACGGTTTGATTGGCTAATGATTTGAGCCAATCCAGACGTGTAAAATTTCCGACAACTGGGCTGATTTGCAAGCAGCCGTGTGTGGATATGTGTAGACTGACCTCAACACACGCCCGAACGGAGATTTCATATTCGCGGCCGGGAATGAGAGAGGGTGCCGAGAAGACATCCTGGCCGGCTGGTTGAGCGTCAGCTGTGCCGTT